GTTTCCACCTAAAAGGAACTTGTGTTCACCTAAAAGGATTTGGCTCCCCTGAAAGAATCTGTGTTCACCTGAAAGGAATCTGCTCACCTGAAAGGAATCTGTGCTCACCTGAGAGGAATCTGTGCTCACCTGAGAGGAATCTGTGTTCTCCTGAAAGGAATCTGCTCACCTGAAAGGAATCTGTGTTCACCTGAAAGGAACCTGTGTTCTCCTGAAAGGAATCTGTGCTCACCTTGCAGGGGAAAGAAACCTCCTCACCTCAGCCCCTTTCCTGGCAGGTGTCCTGGACAAGGGTTCCCTTTGAGCACCCCTGAAGTTGCTGACACCCTGTTTCCAAGAGCCCTGCCTGTTCCCTGGGAATTTCACAGGGTCCAGACTGGGAAACAGCCTCCCAGCAGCATTTTTTTAACTCCTGGAATACGGTCTGCCCCCTCTTTGGTGTTTCCAGGGCAGAGAGGGACACTCAGGGAGCTCACCTGAGAGCTGGCTGGCCATTCTGCGCAGGGTGACCGGGGATGGCTTCAGTGGCATCGAGCCTTTTTCCAAAAACACCAGCCCGTCCGCTGTGTATCTCTGCTCTGAGTCCTTCAGCCTCCCCAGAGGGTTCTTAATAACAAAGTTCTGGGCATAACGCTCCAGTGGGTCATCCAGGGATGTCACTTTTCCTTCCTCCCACATCTTGTACAACATGATGGTGGGGAAGATCTTGGAGACGCTGGCAATTCTGTTAGGGAAAAAAACATTTGGAGAAATTTAGCATCAAGAAGCCCATGAATCAAGAGGAAAGAAAAGATCACCGTGATTTTAGTCTTATATTTAATTTTTATATTTTATATTTTAATTTATATTTTATTTTTATATTTTAATTTTAATTTTGATTTATTTATATTTATATTTAATATTTTATTTTATATTTTATTTATATATTATATATTATATATTTTATTTTATATTTTATATTTTATTTTAAATTTTATTTTATTTTATATTTATATTTGATTCATATATTTTATATTTTATTTTATATTTTCTTTTTACATTTTAATTTTAATTTTGATTTCGATTTATTTATATTTATATTTTATATTTTATTTTATATTTTATTTATATATTATATATTATATATTATATGTTATGTATTTTATTTTATATTTAATATTTTATTTTATATTTTATTTTTAATTTTATATTTATATTTATATTTATATTTATATTTATATTTATATTTACATTTATATTTATATTTATATTTATGTTTATATTTATGTTTATATTTATGTTTATATTTACATTTACATTTATATTTACATTTATATTTACATTTACATTTATTGATGTTTATTATTTAAAATACTTTATATTTTATTTTTTGCCCATTCCAGAGGGAATTGCTAAAATACAGGTAGGAAGTCTGAATTAATACCCTTAAATCTGAGTTTTTATAAACTGCAACATAACCTCTGTCTGTCCCCAGCAGTGCAGTGGGCTGCTGATCTCTTTCCATTCACTTGGCATTCATAAAACAACACAAATTGTAAATTACTGCTTAGCAAGCACCATAAAACCCCTCCAGCAGTTTATTGGAATTTTAAGGTTAAAATCACAGAACCGTTTAGGTCAGAAAAGACCTTTCAGATCATCAAGCTGGAGCATTCACCCAGCACTACCCAACTTCCAAAATTCCAGGTTTGCCCAGTTTTGTGGCCACCCAGGCCGTCCCCGTGGCGCAATCGGTCAGCGCGTTCGGCTGTTAACCGAAAGGCTGGTGGTTCCAGCCCACCCAGGGACGTGGCCCTGACTCCTGGACCCTGGTGGGGGGTTGGAACCCCCTTGGGTTGTCCCTTCCAATCCAAATAATTCCATGGTTCTGGAGGAAAAACAGCACGACGTCATTTTACCGTTATACAGATGGGGAAGGAACACATTTTGGAAAAATCGCAGCTGAAACTGTCCAAAATCGTTCACTCTGAGAAAATTTCACAGTCAGAATGCAGCCCATGTTTCTTAGCACAGTTACAATGCACTGAAAACTGATCTTTAGAGGGAGGAAGCATTTCCTTCATCTTTCTTTTTGGTTTTTAACACAACAATTAACAGCTTGGTTCTGTCTTAACCTAAAAAAATAACAGCCAATATGAATTTGACTTCACTGGAACAATGAATAAGCTTATGGGTCTACTTTACATGTTCAGTAGATATTAATCCCAAAAATCAGTTTTTTCCTAAACTGACATTTAGTATTATTTTTTGAACCCTGTGACAATGTTTCCTCCCTGATCTCCAAATCTGTGCAAGCTCTTGGTCTTCATGTTTGTGCCCTGGACATGCAGCCATTCCCATGTAAGGAATGTATGTTTTCAGGTTCTTTAGGGTCACTGCTACTCCAATTCAAAATATTGTCATGGTCAAATGAAAAAAAATGCATAAATAAATCCAAAGTAACTCAGTAAACCCCCAGCATGCAATCTGGGAATTCTCTTTTTCCTCACAAGGTTCCAGCACGATCCGGCAGAGCTCCCTGCATGGACCTGCAGGTTGTGACGGCGTCTCAGCTCTCCGTTGGTGTGTTTTTCCTTTCCTGGCTCTCCCACCTGTGCCAGGTGTCTCACCTGTAGATGGTGTATTCATTGGGCAGCCCTGAGGCGGGGTCAGAGCCGTTCTTCTTCCCGAAATTGCCCGTCCAGAGCACGGTGTCGTTGTAGATGACGATGGCCGACATGGCCGGGAGGCCGGAGCTGTGCATCTTCTGCCGCAGCATCTGATCCACCTGGGGAGGGAAGGGAAACCATGGACTTCCAAAAGAAAGGTTTTACAACGCATCCAGTCTGTACCAAGCAATGGAATCATCCACCCTCATCATCCCAAATCACTCGAGAGTGATCCTATGAACGGTGTTCTGGCAAAAAAAAAAAAAAAAAGGTATTTTTTTTTATATTTGTTTATCTGTTTCTTCTAGAATTGCTTCTGTTGAATTATCCCGTGTCCTTTTTCAGACTACATGTCCACTGTGTAGAAGAATGAGGTGCTCTTCACTCACTGTGAAGAAGAATGAACCAGCTCACCCTCTGGGCAAGAGAACTGCTCACTGGAGGAGTTTTACACATCCATTTCTAGGTACACGTGTTCTCCTCAATTCCCCACCTCCTTCCCCAGGGATGCTCAGTGGTAATGATAGTAAAAGGTCTTAAAATCTTAGAAAATTCGGGGAGTTAGGAAGAAAGTTAGGTTTGGAAAGCCCTGGGAAAAGCAGGCCCTGGGAAATGTTAGGCCTTGTGCTTGCTAAAGACCAGGTCAAGCTGCACCTGTGTAGTCAGAATATGATAAATGATACAATTGTTAGATGTGATTAGATATAATTATTGTTTAGAGAACATGAGGAACAATGTTAGGGGGCTGGGGGGGAATCACGAGAAATCCATGCTTGGGTAAAAACAATGCGTACAATAGAACAATGTAAGTTTAATAATTAATATGTAAGTTGCATAACGATAGAGTATAAAATATGTTCAACTTGAAAACCCAAATCGGGTCAGATTTGGGTCTGTGTACCCCTGACACCCAGAACTCTTTAAATAAAGCACCTTCATATAACCATTCGTGGTTATGCGTGTTCCTGAACGCTAACAGTAAAATCCTCCATCTCCCCCGCACCCCTGGAGAGAAGCAGCCAAGAGCTGTGTGTCCCTCTGGTCCCTCCAGCCCCACAGACCTTCTCCAGTGCTTCCTTCAGGATGGGGAGGGGGTGGTCCAGCGGGACCGGCTCGGGATAGCGGGGACACATCTGCACGGCTTCTGACCTCACTTCCATCACGGATGGACCTGGAAAACAGCTCAGGGTGACACGGGTGACTCCAACAGACACACGGAGAAGCCTGAACCTCACCCAGCAGCCACCACGAGCTTTCTTGGCCTAAGGGACGCTTTGCACGGGGAAGGGACAACGCTGAATTATTTCTGGTGCCCTGTTATTGCTCATTCCAACATGGGATGGACACGGGATGGGCTTCAACCGACTCTGCAGCCTGGGAGAGTGAAGAACTGGGGCTGCACAAGACTCTGGCGGTGGGTTTAGCCCCCCTGGAAAGATGTTTGGGGAAGCGCTCCTCAGGGGAGAAAGGGGAAGAAAGCTTTTACTGGTCTTCCAAATCTCTGTGCAGCACCCTGGGCAAGGTTAAAACCTCCCTACTCACCGGGCTCCACCTTGGGGAGGCTGTACTGCCACAGGAAGCAGCCGGTCATGGCCACGGAGAGGAGGAAGAGGAGGATGACCAGGACGTGGATCCACTTCACCTCCATGGCAGTGAGTTTGAGGAAGCTCCGGCTGCAGGGCGCCTGCTGGGAATGGAAAAGGAATGGGTTATGGGGGAGAGAAAACACCTGTGTGTGTGTGTGTCAGCTGGGAGAGAGGCCCCTGTGCTGGGGAATAAAGCAGAGACAGGACTGGTGGAAGTGTCCCTGCCCATGGCAAGGGGTGGAGAGGGATGAGTTTTAAGGTCTCTTCAAACTGTTCTGGGATTCTGGGGTGATTTCAGTCCCATTGCTGCACCAGGGCAGGGTAAAGCAGCCCCTGGAACCAGAAATCACTTGCTGGCTTTCAGTGAGCTCTCTGAGCCGCTAACTCACCTCTCCTTGTTGGTTCTTGTGGAACCCTGCTCACTCCTTTTGCTTTCTCCCCTCCCTGCAGGTGAAGCTCATCATCCCAGCCTGGCAGGAGTCTCAGTTACAGCTCTCACTTCCTCCCTTCTCACCACCACTTATCCCTGGATATCTTTCCAGCCCCCTTTTCCAGAGCCCAGCATCTGTTCATGGCAGCCACCAGCCAGACCATCTGAGCAGATCCAGCTTTTCTAGATGAATGATGGAATTTTTCACTCCGTGCTGCCCTTACCCTTCTCTGTTGTGCCTGTAAATCCCATTCTATCACGTACCATCTGTAAGCTTGGCATTTACAGATGCCATGTTTTAGGAAACTGGCTGATATTTGAGTGTGTGCAGCTCTCAAAACACTGGAGACCATCCAGGTTGGTGAGAGAACCAGATCAATGTTGAAGAAAAACAAGGAACAGATGACAAATGAGGAGGTGCCTGAGCCTGAGCTGTGCTCCTTCACTGCCTGCAGGAGGTCAGGAGGGTGCTTTTGAAAGTTTGGCAATTAATGTTATAAAACATATGGCCTGCCATTTGCATCCAATATGCTCCACATTCCTAAGCTGTTTCAGGTTGTCTGGACTCACTTGTAGGACAGACAGATTGAAATATTCCCTTTAGATTTCCACACAGCCTTTTTTTCTTCTCCCCCCGCCCTGTTTTTGAGATACAGGATAGTTCACGCAAAAGCTTCTGCAAATCAACTGAGCCTTGTCACTCACAGCCAGGGAATCTGCAGAGCCTCTCCCAGACTTGTGGATCCAGCTGGGTTTTCCAGCCTTCACTGGAACTCTGGCTTGCAGCTCCACTTTCTGCATAATAACAGAAATATATCATAATTTTTCCTGAAGGCCCTCAGCCTGGCCAGGCGTTTCTGAAAGCAGCTTATGTCAGGTTCTTCCATAACATAATTAAAATTCAGGGATGGCTGAAGACTGTGCAGGTGCCTGCAGACCCCACTCACACCTGAGCCTGCCTGAGCGCTCCAGATCCATATTCCTGACGTGTTTCTAAATAGGGGAATGCCATCCTGACAGCAATCCCACTTTTGTTTGGATATACCAACCTCTTTCAGGGCATTAGCTTGGCAGGAGATTCCATCACTCAAGGAAAAGCCTGTGCTGAGATCTCTTTAATCCCCTCACACTGGCAGGGCTCAGTGTGTGTTCAAGGATGTTTTCCTGCAGTGAGGGGTGGGACGGGGCCCTCTGCCCTGGAGTGGTCATGGGATTTCTTGGATTTAGTCACATCTTAATAACATTGACTCCTCCACCAATTTTCTGGCCGTTTTTCTGCCTCTTTCCTGGCCTCACTGAGAAGCCCTGGTTCCTGAGTCCCAAAGAACAAGGTGAGAAAATTATTTTCTGGTGTGTTCCTCACCTCACGGACTCCAGACTCACTGGGCCGCTAACAGAGGACACAGAAATACCGACTCTGAGCTCATCTTTTAGCCCAAACTCATCCTTCACTCATTTACTTCATGTGGATCCTGAGAGCTCTGAATGCCTCTTTTTCCTTCCCTGCGATCCAGTGGGAATGCAAAAAAAACCCTGGCAGTACCACAGACTAGAGATATGGATCTCTCCTTCACTGATGGGACACCAGATACCCAAAGGTGTGAGAAATATTCATCCAAACCACCTTTCAGGGAAAACACCACTTTTCCCCTGCAGCTGGGAGGCCGACAGGCGAAGCAGATGGATAGATCCCTACAAACACACATCACAATTCCCACTCCAGGACCTGTCTGCTCTCACCTTCCCATGGCTTCCCCCTCACTCCGTGCCTCTGTGACTGTCGCTGCTCACAGCACAGACACAGCAAGGCAGGGGGAGGGGGACACTGAGCACTTAATCACATGCAAATGAATGCAAACGCATGCAGGAATGAGCGCACGCGGCTTCCCGTGGGGACAGCTTAGCAGTAGGATACCTTTCTTTTCCGCCCCACTGAGATTTGCAAAATTGGGATGGGGAGAAAACTCGGGGATTCCCCATGGACCACCCAGGCCACTGCCCTGCCCCACAAGGCACAGCTCAGCAGGGATTGGGGACAGCCAGGAAGACCCCCCAGCCCCTCACCTACCACATCCAGGAGCTGCCTCAGTCCCAAAGGCTGCCGTCCCTCATCCAGGCGTGTGGGCACCTCAACAACCTCATCCTGGCCAGCCTGAGCCTTGGGCAGGGGCGAGCAGGAGCCCTCAGCATCTCCCCAAGGCAGCTCCGTGTCACGGGCAGGTGCTGCTCCCTGACTGGACTTGGGATTTATCTCCCCAAGGATCCTGCTCCAGGTTTATCTCCCCGAGGATCCTGCTCCAGGTTTATCTCCCCGAGGGTCCTGCTCCAGGTTTATCTCCACAGGGATCCTGCTCCAGGTTTATCTCCACAGGGATCCTGCTCCAGGTTTATCTCCACAAGGATCCTGCTCCAGGTTTATCTCCCCGAGGGTTCTACTCCTGTTTTATCTCCCCAAAGATCCTGCTCCAGGTTTATCTCCCCAAGGGTTCTGCTCCAGGTTTATCTCCCCGAGGGTTCTACTCCTGTTTTATCTCCCCAAAGATCCTGCTCCAGGTTTATCTCCCCAAGGGTCCTGCTCCAGGTTTATCTCCCCAAGGGTTCTGCTCCAGGTTTATCTCCCCGAGGGTCCTGCTCCAGCTTTATCTCCCCAGGAGTCCTGCTCCGGGTTTCCCCATCCATTTGGCCCATCCAGAGAGTGCTGCTGATCTCCCCCGAGAAAGGAGCTTAAGTGACAGGGACAGGATGGCGTTTGCACAGGAAAGTGCCCGAGAGATTGGATGTTAATTCTTCCTAATGCTTCTGTGCCATGTGTGTGAATCACAGCTGAAACCAGGAGGGCTTCACCATCTATTTTTAGCAGCTTCATCTCCTCCTGACATCTGAACAGGAGGCGATTAAGCAGGACAGGGACAGTCCCTGAGTGCCTCCAGCCAGCCCCGGGAGCTGCTCAAGGGGAGGGGATGTGGGGAGCTAAGCTGGGAGCTCAGGCACTCTCTGGGCTTAATCCTGAAAGCCTCCTGGAGTTCCCCCTCAGTGACAGACAAGGCAGTCATTCCCAGCTCCCAGGATGAAGATGGAGCTGGGATTTCTTCCCCCTGATCTGCCAGGTACCCTGGAGGATAGCGGGAGGTGCAGGAGGGGATCCTTACCCGCAGCTGTAACCCCTCCATGGCTGCTCAGGAGGCTCTTCTCATCCCCTGTGCTGCTGCTCCCCACAAATCAAGGATTTGTAAACCCCTGTGATGGAGAGAACAGAGTTGGTGCAGGAAACTAGCAGAGCAAAGAGGTAACGAAGGCCCAAGAAACAAAGCCCAGCTCAGGTAAGCAGGGCTGCAGGGACAGACATGGGGATAGAATGAGACAGGGACATGGGGGCTGGAATGAGGTGGTCTTTAAGGTCCCTTCCAACCCAAACCATTCCATGAGATAAACCACAGTAACCACAAAAGTCCTCAGCAACACCTCACCTCTCTCTGCCTCTGCTCTGGCAGCATCTTGTGTTTACTCCCAAGCTTCCCATTTCCCTTTCACCTCCAAACACAAGAAACTGAAGCTTTGAGCCCTTCAGAGCTGACACATTTTCACTGTGGCTTCTCCACAGGGTCCTGCAAGGCTCCTTCACCTTGTTCCCTCTCCACAGCCAACAACACCCCCTTACCCCTGGGAATCACCCCCACATCCAAGGGACTGTGTGACAGGACTGGAAGTGCCAGGATAATAACACCACCACCATCTTCCCCACAAACTCTCCCATAAAATCTCCCTCATCCATCTACCTGGCAGCAGCAATTCAATCCCCAACCCCCCAAGAAGAGCTCTTACCGTCCTTGCTGCTACCTCCGGCTTCCAGCTGAGGAATTTGGGGCTGTCCTGCAGCTGCAGATGTTGAGAGCAGCTGAAGCACTAATCCAGCTGCCAGCCTCTCTGAGCACAGATTAACGGGCCAGGCCTCACCCCTCCACAAACAGCTCAGCATCTGTCCAGGGATGCAGCCAGAGGGAGGATTGGAGGTGATGTCCTGGCTCCAGGAGAGCTGCAGAGTGAGAGATGGGGAGTATATTATATTGTATTGTATTATATTATATTATATTATTATATTCTATTATATTCTATTATATTATATTCTATTCTATTCTATTCTATTCTATTCTATTCTATTCTATTCTATTCTATTCTATTCTATTCTATTCTATTCTATTCTATTCTATTCTATTCTATTCTATTCTATTCTATTCTATTCTATTCTATTCTATTCTATTCTATTCTATTCTATTCTATTCTATTCTATTCTATTCTATTCTATTCTATTCTATTCTATTCTATTCTATTCTATTCTATTCTATTCTATTCTATTCTATTCTATTCTATTCTATTATATTATATTATATTATACTATATTATATTAATTACATTATATTTACTATATTATATTATTTACATTGTATTTACTATACTATATTAATTTTATTATGTTATGTTATATTATACTATATTATATTAATTATATAATATAATATAATGTCATTACATATTATCTATTTTATATTAATTACATAATACTTTACATAATAGAATGTATTAATTACATAATAGAACGTATCAATTACATGATATTTACTATATAATATGTACTATATTATTACTATATTATATTAAATCTATTGTAAATATTATATCATATTATATTATATTATATTATATTATATTATATTATATTATATTATATTATATTATATTATATCATATCATATCATATTATATTATTATTATATTATATTATATTATATTATTATTATATTATATTATTATATTATATTATATTACATTACATTACATTACATTACATTACATTATATTATATTATATTATATTATATTATATTATATTATACTATTATATTATATTATATTATTTATAAAGTACACCCTAAATGCTCTCCAAAGAGGAAGGTGTGGTTGTGCACCCAGTCACATTCCAGATCCAGGGGGATTATGCACCTCGGGGGACCTGCCATCCTATTCCTTCACATCTTCATAGGCAGGGACATTCCAGTTCCATCCCTTCATTCCAGTATCTCCAACAGCATCCCAGAACCTGACAGTGCCCAAAATACCCAGTGGAGCCTGTGCCCTCAGAGCTGTTCCCAAATTTTGGTGAATGGGGCTGCTGATGACCTTCTCTCTAATTAGATCAGCTCAGGTTTCTCACGGTTTTGTCGCCCCCCATTTCTGGGAGCTCTGATTTCCTTCTGTCCCTGCTGGTGCTCTTTGTGCCTCCAGTGGTGATTTTTGGTCTGGGCTCCTCTAACACCTTTCTGGACTCTTTCTGTCTCCATGCACACAGGACATTGACTTATCTTGTGGAGCTGGTGCTGCCACTGATGGCTGGAGGTTCCTTATCTCCTGCTCTGTGTTTATTGAGCCCTCGCTGAGCCAGCAGAGCTCGGGAGCACAAAGCCTTCCTGATTTAGGGAAAGCATTGGGCAGCAGCTCAAACATCAGCGTGTTATCAGTGCTGTTCTCCTCCTGCATTCAAAACACCGCTCTGTACCAGCTACCAGGGAAATGACTGGGAAAATGAACTCCATTCCACCCAAAAGCACATCTGGGTGAGAGTTCAGAGCTTGTGACTTGAGGCTTCTGCAAATCCAGCTACTCAGGCTAAGAAAGGAAAGCTAAGCAAGCAGCTAAACCACACAATGTTAGAACTCTGAGTGACCTATTCTGATTTAAAACTTACTTATTAACTGATATTTCTCAACCCATCCCTTGGGGGAGCCTGAGGGTGGCCTCCACTGAATGGTTTTACACTGGGTCCCAGCTTAGAGAAACCTCAGAAGATGTTGTGGTTTCCAGGGCAGCTTCTCCCTCCTTTTCCCAGGGCATCCCTGTGACCCGGGGAGCCACAGCCAGGAGGGAACATCAAACAGGGACTGCAGCCAGAGGATTTTGTGTTTCATAACACCAAAGGTCAATCTGTGGGATAGCTCTGACCAGGAATCAGTGGGATATGACCAAAACAAACAGCTGGCTGAGGGCTTTTCAGGCTTCTCCCCTGCCTCAGCTGCAGATCAGCAAAAAAAATCTGCCCAGGCTGGTTGCATCTGTCTCCACTGCCAGCCAAGGAACACTGCCTCACCAGGTATTTTACACAGCTTGTCCTGGAGCAGAGAGCCAGAACGCCCATCAGGCTCTCTCCAGCTGAATTATTTTTCCATCCCTGCCCAGAAACAACCTTTGGCATGAAGGTGACTAATGCAGACACTTTGGAAATCAGCAGTGTGGGAAATTCCCCCCCCACAGAGCCCCTTCCCTCCTGTGGCACCTGCTGGGACCCCCACACCTCTTCTCCTGCTTCCAGGACCTCCTTCTTCTCCTTGGCTTCCTCTCCCACCCCATTTCCCTGGCTGAATTTGGGGATGCAGCTTGCCATCCCACACGGGCTTGCACAGGAAGGATCTGGGGGGTGCAGTGGGGGGCTGGTCCCAGCTCCCAGCCCAAGGCTGAGCCCACCAGTGAAGCCTCACCGTGCAAATGTGTGAAGAAAATGTGTGGAAGAAAATGCCAGATGGGAGGAGAAGGGAAGAGCGAAGTGGGAAGGGAAAGAGGAGCAGGAGAGGCTCCATGGGGATGAAGATTTTCCCTGCAGCCCAAGGAGGACTCAGACCAGGGCAGATGTCCCCTGCAGTGTGGAGGGGACCGTGCCATGGCAGATCCTCACACAGCATCCCATGGAGAACCACTCCAGGGCAAATGGATACTCCTGAAGAAAACACAGCCCATGAAGGACCACACTGCTGGAGGTTTTCCTGTGGGGTTCCCGTGCTGGAGCACAGGAAAGGCGAGGAGGAAGGAGAAAGACGAAGAAATCACTTTGTGCTGACCTTGACCTGCTGCCCTCAATGTCCTTTGCACCACTTTTTCCTGGAGGGGGCTGATTAGGGGAGTTTGGAGTGAAGAAGCAAAACTGAATATGAGAAAGGACTGGGGAGTGAGGAGGAAACATGTTGGTTTGATGTCTTTTTGTTTCCCACTACTCAAATTTTAAGGCAATAAATTAATTTACCTTTCCCCAAATTGTGTCTGTTTTAACCTGTGACAGCAATTGGTGACTTCCCCATCTTATCCCAGCCCATCAGTTTTCTTGCCCCCTTTTTTCCCCAATTTTTTGGGGAAGTGGGCAGCTGGGTGGAAGTTCTGCTGCCAACCAAGGCTCTCTCATCACCACAACCATGACAGAGAGTTGAAATGAAATGATCTTTAAGGTCCTTTCTACCCCCAATAATTCTGGCATTCTGTGATTCCATGATCACACAGGCAAAATCTCTCCCCTACAGCTTTCTCTCGGTATTGATCCTCAATCTCTCTGCCCTGAAGGGTATCCCTGCCGTTTTCCTGCCAAAAGATGCATTTACAGATCTCCAGGAAGGTCCCAGCAGCTGCTCAGCCCCTGTTTCAGAGCAGGTCCCCACAGAGGGAACAAGGTCTGGTTTTGCTGGCTGGAGGGGACCCATGGGGACATTTTCTGCTCAGATTTTTTTACTGGCAGGAACAAAAAGCACCTCAAACCAAACAGTCTGAGCAGATGAATCAGATGCTCGAGCAGTTAAAGAAGGAATTAGAAAATGAACAAGGGGAGGCTCTCAGCGTTCCAGGCACTGTCTGATGCCAGCAGAGCAGTGACACATCCCAGGGACAAGCTGGGCTGCACTGTCCCCTCCTCCCTGGGCTGCCAGGCTCTCACAGTGGCACAGGAAGGCAATTTCCAGCTCTAATTGCCCTTCTCTCCTTTGAACCGTGATGGGGGTGAGGGGGGATCTCCCCCTCCCAGGGCCCCACACTGCAGAGCCCAGCCAGGACTTTGTTGTCCCCCTGGGTGTCCTTTGTGTCCTCCCAGGCACCATTGTCAGCCTTTGTGTCCCGTTACCAGCTGGCTCATTTTATCCACGGTTTTTTGTGCAGTTGAAGTGAGATTTGGAAGTCAAAAGATGGAGCAGAGTTCCAGAGGGGCTCCAGCTGCACGTTCCTGTGTCCAGGATTAGTGGCAGTGGCTCAGGTGACAGAGCAGGGGGTGGCCAGCAGTGCTTTTGCTGTCACTGCCCAGCTCAGGGAATCACAAAACAAGAGTCAGGAGCCTGAGAGGAAACGTGAAAAACGAGCATCACTCCCTTAACAAATTATAAAATTATTATTAATAATAATTATAAATTATATATTATATTATAAAA